CCACCCCCCACCCACCGCCCACCGTCCAAGTGGACTGGGACTGAAAGGGCCATGGATTTTAATTACAAGAAATTGTATGCTTTTTTCGCTTCTGCAAGCTGTACAAAAGATTTCGGGGGACAGCGTTGGACTAAAACAAAAGACTGCGTTATGATTTCCATATAAACTCGCGGTGTGTATATATACATGCATGGAAGGGCATCACAAAATCCAAATTCGACCATCAAAATTATAAAATGTTATTTATTAGATGTTATTTTTCAATCGGCACACGAATTAAATCAGCCATTCAGAGTGTTAAATGCACCTTCCCATTGTATTATTTAAGTATTTATTAAGAGTGGCAATGAACTACTAAGCGAATGATTAAGCTAAAGCTATGGGATTCCACACCCTGTTGCTGCGTTCACAAAACAAATTGCATTTTATTAGCCAACAAAATTGGCAGAAAAAGGCTAAAACCGGGAGCCGTGCATAAAGCAACTATTGTCACATGATTTGGCCCAGCTGGGCAATATTTTGTAGCCTGCCACGCCCTGTCGGTGGTGCACAATGAAAAGGGTTCGACACCGGAGCAGGATCTGGGATCCAGGACGCAGGACGCAGGATCCGTGGAACCAGAGTTTCCACACGGAATGAGATGCCGCACAAAAGGACCACCACAATGGCGCGTCTGACAAACAAGGCGCAAAAAAGTGAGGAAACACGAATGCAAGTAACCGAAACCGAAACCGAAACCAAAACCGAAAAAGGTATCTCGTAATATATAAAAATAGCTGAATTTATTGGACAGTCGCACGCCACCCATTTAATTTATATTTATAGAAAATGAACACCAAAGGCAATGCATATCCTTTCACAGAAAACAAAACACAAAAAGTCCACCAAAATGATGTATGAAGAAGGATACAAAAATTGGTGAACGTCTGTAAAGGATGCTGCAGTTGAAAGGAATGAAAATGATATGCTGGGTTTTTAAATGAAACAGTGATTAAAGGGATTTCATGGAATTTATTGTCCATCAAAAAACACTATTAAAGATAACAATTAATTGGTAATATCTATTAACTAACCTTGTTAGAAACAATTAGTTGGTAATACCTAAGGATATATCTGCAATAATCTACTATAATCTACTAGTCTTAAAGTAGCTTAAGTAGCCCTTATGTGAGACTTTACTTTCGTGCTATCTTTTCTATTTCAACGTATACGCCATTATATTAGCCTTCATTTTTGTAGCTCCTTGCCCCAAAAGGAGAGCAACAAATTAAATGTCAAACGACAAGGGGTCCAAGGACAAATAAAAAATAAATAACGCACATTCTCACTTCGGAAACGAAAGAAGGGCTCCTGTCGCCTTTTCTTCGCCTTGTATTAAAAAACAATTTGCTGGCAGGACGAAGAAAAACCGAATAACACATGGGAAAACTTGCGACACGCGTGGCAAAAGGACACGAGGGACATGGGAATTGGCCACAAAAGATGCTAATGATTTATTTAATCGATTTGACCATGAACACATGTCCTTTTGGTCCAGGCCGTGTGAAAAATGAACAAAATTTCCGGGGGCAAGTGGTGGGCCAACCTCTTCAATTTCATTTCCCCATTTTTTGCCCCCTTTTTTCTTGCCACTTCTTGTTTTTTCTTCCTCCTGCGTTCTTTTTTGCAGTCAAGTGTCCGGCTGATCTTTTTAATAGTTTCGGTTACGCAATGTTGACAAGGGTTTTCCTTTTCGAAAGGGTCAATATTGGTTGGGCGTTTGGTCAAGTGTGAGTCGTTACGGCTTTGCTGTGTAAATTATGTTAAACGTTTGTCAATTTGTGTGATTTGTCTTGTCCGCCCAAAAGGGCAAAGGTGCGAAAGGGGTTAACCCGTCCATGGTCACGCGCTATTAACTCCAATAAATGTCAAAAAAAAGAGGAAAAATGGGCTTGATTGTCCGAGGTGTGGATTTGCGGCCATGTTCAATGACTTGGAGGTCTGAGATATGCAATGTATCTTTTACCACACTAATAGATTGTGTCAAAACGTAGTACGCTTCAAAATGTTGTAGTTTTGGGCGGTTTTTCTTTTTGGATCACAGCTCAGCGCTGTTTTTTTTAGAGATAAAACATGAAAAGAAGATGGGCAAAGTGAGCACAAGTTTTTCTTTTTTCGCTGAAGAGGAGAATGACTAACAATGGGTGTGGCTGAAATGGAAAAAAAAGAGAAAAGGGCGGCTAATAAATCGGTTTCAATATATCAAAGACTTAAATTTCAATTTTTTTCAAATTTCCTGCCATTTAAATGCACTCCTTCGTCCGGGGATTTTCCAGTGGTGGGGGCTGTGTGTAGGGGGGTTCGGGGCTTGGGGGATTGGGGTCCGAGATCCCCATTGTTATGGTTGGCTGGTAAATGATGCGCAAGGGGGGTTGCTTGGACATCGTGGCATTCGCTGCAGAACTGTGCCTTTTTGAGTGAGCCAAGAATTGAATATTTCTCCTCGCCTTCGCCGTCGCCTTTCGCTTTTCCGAGTATTTTTTTTCCACTTCTCTGGCGGCGGGTCTATCCAATTTTTTCTTTGGCGACAGACAACGACGCAATTCTTTAGCATTTTATTTCAATTTTCCTCGGGTTCGGGGAGCTGGAGCGGTTGGAGGAGTCAACGCAGTGTACAGCACATTTACTGCCTCATCTATTTAATACCATAAATAATTGCATCTAATTAAATATGCTCAAATGAAAATGTCCGCTTTTCTTTCTCTTTTTTTTTTTTTTCGCTCTCCCCTGTCCAGGACTTTTTCGCTTTCCTTTCTTTTTTTAAACCATCGCAACTACGTGCCATGAGTTGGCTGCAGTTGACGCGTGATGGAGCGAATGTCATTCGAAATGAAATTCAAGTTCCAATTTGGAGCCGGCAGGAGAAAAAAAGGAAGTGGGGGTGGGAGGCGGTGGAAAATAGCGCGGAAAATGGGAAAAGATTGGGTGCCAAGGAGAAATTAAGTAGCAGCGGGCAAAGGGAAAAAGAATTTAATAGTTTTCAATTAGGAATCGTTTGCAGCCTTTTCTTTTCGCACCCTCTCCTGTTTTTCTCTTTCCTTTATGGCACACACTTGATGCCGCAACGCCACTCCCCCGCATTTCCACAATTTCCCACCGCCCTTTTCCAAGTGTCAAGCAAATGAAGTCACGACTCGTCCTCCCACTTTTGTCAGTTTCGTTATTTTTCCTTTGCTTTTGCTTATCAGATACCCTGTACAGATTGCATTAGTAGTCGTTTTGTAATTAAGGATGTTGTTACTCTTAAATATGTGTCAATTAAAATGGCAATAATTGCTACAATTTGATTTTCCTTTATAGGAAGCGGAGGTTTATAAAAGCTATTTGTTGTTTTTGCACAAAACTAATAATAACCCATTTAAAATGTCCTATGCACACTTCAATTAATTTTAGGCGAATGATTACAAAAATCACTGGGAATAAATAGTTCGTTAGCCCTGAAAATATCTGCTTACATTCTTCAGTGTTCTCCTGCCACTGTTGTTGCTTTTGCTGCTTTTAATTCAACGTAAATTTTATTTTATTTTAATTTCGCTGCAATTCTTTTATCACACTCCCAGTGTTCTGTCTCTTTCGGTCCTTTGACGCCATCTCCTTCTTACCCCAGCGCTGTTCCTTGAGTATTTTTCTTGTGTTTTGTGTTTTGTTGGTGTGTATTTTTTGTTCAAATGATGCCCCGTGTATTTTGTCACGTGACTTTCATTTAACTAAAATTGTCGAGCATTTAGTGTGCAATTATTGCTGCTATAGCTTTAATTAAATAAATATTCGGCAAGAACAAATGCACAAATTTCAGGTAAGTGAGCCACGTTTGGAAAAAAAGGGCATAATATATGTTCAACCATATTTGGCACGAACGCACTTCAAATTGGTTAAAAGTCTATTGCCTTGTTCTAATATGTAGCAAAAGAATTGTGGCATTTACATGGGTTTTTGCATTTCCAACTATTTCCATCGAGTGCACCTAACTACTTACTGGCGTTTCGATTAGAAACCAATAAATAAGCCTGAAATATTCGCAACTAACTTGCAGAGACACTTAACTTCTGGCTTGTTTCGGGAACTGGCATATTTATGGTGACCCCGGCGAAACTTTCACCCCAACTTCGGAATACCAGGGGCAATCAATGCAGAGGGCCAAAAGAAACAAGTCAAGACAGTTACCTAAATAACTTTGCAGCAGCAGCAACAGTAAAGTAGGAAAAACGGTGGGAAACGAGGCAAAAACAACGGCAAACAACGCAGAGCAGTTCGCGGAAAATTAACGGCAATACCGCTGTAAAAGCAAGAAGAGCGGGAAAAGCGGGAAAAGCCGGCGGAAAGTTATTGAGCAACGACCTAAAACAACAAAATCCTTAGCCGCTGAGTTTCTAGCCTGTAATGGTTCGATGAATTTATTACTTTTGATGTTCAAACACGAAAACTGCTGCAGGCCATAAAACCAGGTCTCCAGTCCCCCAATATTTCCCATTTTCCCCATCGTTGTACTTCATCAGACTTTGGCGGAGTGAAGCAAATGCTATTAAAAGTTTACATGTCTCAATAGAGTGTTAAGAGATTAGTTGGCATAAAATATTTACAGAATTTCAACGGAAAACTTGAACAGACAGCGGTTCAAACAGAAACATTCAGCGGATAGGTGAAACGCATAGATGATGATCTAAATATTTGAAACTTTGTTCCAGTAAGGTCACCTAAACGGTGTTTACATATCTAGAACAACTATTACATGCTATATGTTCATAAGCTAGCTTCAGCCTTGTCGCAACATTTTTGCAATGCACGATATGACAACCACAATTAAGACTCTTAAAAATTACGGCTAAAAGATACATCCAGATAAGGCCACATAATAGTAATCAAACACCGATTTGGCGTGTCAGATGGCTTTTCACCGTACTTTGTTGATATATATATTTCGAGATCTATTCGATCACCCCACATTGTAGTGACATTAGCAGAATGGCAGGGTTGCGTTCCAGAATAAGTCCCATTACGCTGTTGCTTTCGATACTTTCGATACATTCGATACTTTTGCTTCAAAGTTGTCGGGCGGAAAAACCCTACAGCGTGGAGCTAAACACCTTTACGATGGACGAAGCCATCGAAAATCAGGAAAACTGGGTGGACTGGGGAACGCTGAGTATGAAAAAGGTCTCACGAAATAAATTTGTGGTGAACGGCGACTTTGAATTCAAGCTCAATATGGCCGATGAGCAGAAGGTAATGATTGGTCAATTGTTTGTAGTAGAATACTAGCCGGATCTTCCGAGTAACTTCCCGTTAATATGTCCTATTTTGTAGATTCTTCTGATGGTTTACGTCTACGATTCCAATGCCAATCAGCGGGGTTCCATGGTAATGGCTCTTAAGAAACCATTTTGTCAGTTCATCAAAGAAGATGAGGACTCGTATCCAAGCATACAAAAGGCATCCAATTTACCGGATCAGGATACCTGCCCATTTCCGAAAGGCAAATATACCATCGATAATTACGAAATGGAGACCAATTTTCTGCCGGACAATGCACCCAAAGGCGACTATCTGCTGCAGTTATCCTTGTTGGATAATGAGGTTCCAGTGGCTGGGCTTGTGTCTACTGTTACCCTCAGTTAAGGGCATCTGAAGTGTTCTTTGGTTTTCTATTTTTTTTTTATATTTAGTGATGTTCCGGGTGGATCCATATGACACGACAAGCGTTCTTCTTCATACTTATGTTTACTTTTACCTCGAAAATCAATATAATAACTTCACTTTCAAAGACAAAAATATTTCGCTGTGGCTGACGATCTCTCTGGGATAAGAATAATAAGAATGGGGTAGCCAGCCATCAAGTGCTCATCAACGCTTCAAATGGCAAACACAAATCCAATTGCATCGCAGTGTTTCGCTTCAACACCTCATCTAATTGAAATTTCTGCAATATCCCGTTGAGTGCATGGCATATGTCTCATTGGCAACGCCTCATTCTCCTATTTTCCCACTTAAGGCAAAGGCTCTTCATAGTAAATATAATTTTTGCTCGTTGCTTTTTTAATATTTTTTTGTTGTTTAAAGTGATTATCTTCGCATTACAGTCCATTGATTCCACTTAAGCACCGCTAGAATGGCACCACATGCTGGGTGTTTGGGGGCTTTTGCACACACATGCGACACTTAATTAACAAATATGCATTTCAAGCACCCGCAACGAACAGCAATTGGTTGGTCACATCATCCCAGAATCCCTCGGTATCAAATATCTAGTTCCCCCGTTTTCCAGCTCCGAAAAGGCCAGCCTTTAACCCTTTATTTGCCACGCCCCAGCAGAAAGACCCAGGAGTCCACAATGATAGCCCCTTCAAAAGGGGGCTTTTCACGCCGGGTTGGCATGTGTTTAATTGAAAAATCATATGCAGCGCGCATAATTATGTTTATTGCAATAATCCGATGCAAATTTGCAAAAACTCAAACTGACACAATCACCGAAATGCTTTAGACGTTGGCAAACACCAACAGTGGCGTAGTCTCAGGGGGAAGTTAATCGGAGAAAATGTATTGTGGAAAAGCATTGAAGAAGCAGTTGTACTTCTGTACAATTGATTGATAACCGCTGCGGAAAAATTCTGCCCCCTTGGAGCTTGCCCAACTACGCCACTGCTGAAACCCCACAGGCGTTGCACTAGGCAACCCCCCTGATTTCCACCCCCATGCAACCGGTTGCTGCTACGGTTGCTGTTGCACCGACGCCCTTGCGCTTTTGTGCAACTGCAACTGCAACTGCAACTGCAACTGCCTGGTGATTTGTGTTTATATCTGCATATGTACGTGTAGTTGTATCCGCCATCCATAACCGTATCCGTAGATGTATCTATGTATGTCGCTGCGGCCGTATCTGCATCGGTGTTGTTGTTTTTCGCTGCTGGCGCGCATTAAATTGCTCTTTAAATTGCACATTTCAACGCCTACTGATTATGACAGATAATTATGTTATCGAGTGCCGCCACACGCCGCATTCAACCCTTTGCCACCCACAGAACTCAGCTCCCTTCGCGAAAATGCTCACTTTAATTATGACGAAGATAGATATTTGAACTTCAGGGCTGTCACGAAAAATTCATGAAAATTAGATGTAAGTTTCAATCATTTGTTGAGTCTTGTTTTATACATTTTTGTAGCTTCGGTGCTATTATTTTTATTGTACGTCGTACTCCGTTGAGTAATCTTAAATATTCTCGTATGTATTTATTATATTATTTGCTTGAAGGAAACGCTTCCCCCCCCACCTTCGGAAAAGTCAAGGCAAAGCAAAGTGAACTCGATTTCAGTCGGGATGGAGATGGGGGCAGCATGTGTTCGCTTTGGGGACAGGTGTACTCCCTTTACAATCCACAGCATCTTGCCATTTCATTTCCGCAGGTACACATATTTTTAATCATCATTAACAATAATTCGAGAAATACTTTTAATTTTGTGTTCGCGGCAGGCTCAAGACGACATGTGGTCGCAACAGGGGCGGAGGTTTCCAAGGGGGTAGGGCTTGGGTTTTGTTTCTTGCTCCCCCCTATTCCCCCTACTACCCCTTTGTATTTTTTTGCCTCAATGACATTGCACTTACTGTCTTCGCCTTCAAGATTTATGAAAAAAAATGTGCCCACCCCCTCGGGGGAATTGTTTTCGACGCCTTTGCCCGCCTTCTGTTTCGTTGTTTTCTCTTAGGTTCAGTTCGCATCGCTTTTTTTTGCTTTTTTTTGCTTTTTTTATTTTCTGGCATTTTCTTGTGTGCAATATTAATTATTATGGGCGCCCCGCCACCCACACAAATAAATCATAAATTAAAAGCTGGGAAAGTGGCTGCCACACCCCCGTCCGTTCGTTCGCTTAGACAATTTTTATCATTAAACGCATTTGATAATTAAAAATTGTCATTTTTTAGCGGCCCCCAACTTTGGGAAAAAAAATAAATGAAAAATATTAAATTACCGAAAAGAGAGGGGATTTGGGGTGAAGGGCATTTATCATTTTGCCAACTGTTTGTTTGATAAGGGAAAAGCGAACCAAAAAAAAATATATATATATGTATTAGCGCATACAGACATAAATAAAAATTAATTGGTGAAGAGAGCGCGTAGGATGAGAAGGGAGGTGAAGTCACATAAATATTACTTAAAATATATATTCGGAAAAGCCGAAAAGTGCCAAGCCAATCTCTTCACGTACTTTTTCCGTTTGGCCATTTCAAAGGTTTCATTTCATTAAGTTTTATAAGCACTTCGATTGCCTCGCAAAAAGGTAACGAGAATGAGATTTTCCACCAGTAATGGAAAGCCGAGGAAAACCGAGGACAACCGTTAAAAGTAATGGCAAACGTGGAAACCATTATAATTGTTGTTAAATGAACCAGATAGCGAAGGCAGACGGAAGCGGAGCGGGGAAATGCGGAAAAGCGGAAAAGCTCACGGCGAATGTGTTTCCAATTGATGGAAACCCGTTACGATTGGCAAGGTTTCCTTCGCCGGCGAAAAGGGCAACAGAAGTAAACTGTTAACACTGGATGAGGGAAAATTGGGGTTTTCCCTGAGTACATCCTGAACGGATATAGGCGTATTACCAGTTAAAGATTAAGAGTGGAAAATGAAGTCTGGGCTGTGTTAGCAAGTACTCGATGTGAACTTTGTATCTACCCATATGCATTATTAGTACATATAGTACTTTTAATAAGCAATTGTTTAGTGTTGCTTCATATTTTTGCAGGCACATCCTGCAGGATATTCACCACATTTTTCTGCACCGAATTCTCGCCTTTGTGAAACAATTTTCCGGGCCTTGGCATTTTACGCGCTATTACCACTTTTCGAAGCAATAAAATATTATTAAAATGATACTTCGCCTGCCGCGCACAAAGGCACAGACCGAGAATCTGGTGGCTGTAAATCAACGTCTCGATGACATTAAAATAAAATTTTAATGCCGCCACCGAGAGTAGGACGGCACTAAGCGAATAGAAAGAGAGGCAAGGGGCGGGTATAATTTCGCTGGCGCGTTTTTGATCGAAAACTTTTTCACGTCTGTAGTTTTGCGGATGTTGTCTGCCTCCGTCGAAGAAGGCTCATCATTTCCACCTTGGCTACAGTGCCATGCCAAAAATTTATTTGAGTTTATCTGCTACCCCCACCCACCCAACAAAACCAGCCGCGGCTCGTCTGTGCGCCTTTTCCGGCTCATTTTCCTGGGACTTGGGGGCAAATAATTGTAAATATTTGATACACAATATGGCAATAAAAATAAAATTGAAAATTTTTCGCTTTGTGCTACGTTGCCTTTTATTATCATCATCATCATCGTCATCGTCATCGTCATCATTCTCCCCATTTCGTCTGGGATTATGTCGTAAAGGAAATTGATACATAAGTCATTTTTATTGGCATATTCTTTTGTGTAATTACTTTCGTTCTTTTATTGATCCCGTTTTCTGGCCCCCAACATTTTCCCGCTCAGTTTTCCTGGACCCTTTGGAAGAGGTGCTCCAGGACATTTACACAGATGCAGTAGATGAAAATGACCTTGAAACAGTGCATGCTGAACTGCAGCAGGATCAGGCGGTCTGTGGACATGGCAGATCGGATGCTTGAGAGCCCGAAGTCTATTAAAACTTGAATCAATTAAGAACGGCGGTGCTATTTCCACATTTTCCTTGTTACGAACGAAATTATATTGACATTAAAGGCGAAGTGAACATGAGTTAAAGGCTTCTAATATAAGTTGAAGTTCAAGTTTAATAAGTTGAAGGTTGAAATATAAATAAAAATTCAATAAATATAAGTAAATGTTTAATAAATATAAAAATTAATTTAATAAATTTAAATGAATATAAATAATAAATATAAACGTATATGAATATTAATTTAATAAATATAAATTTAATAAGTATAAATATAAATGTAATATATATAAATTTAATAAATATAAATGTAATATATTATATATATGTAAATAAATATAAATAGAATTTTAATAAACATAAATACAAATTTAAAAAATAAATTAATAGAATATAGATATAACGTAATGGCTTGGAAAACAAAACACCAAAGAGCAACAAGAAAAAGGAAGGAAGAAAGTTTCACTGACTCCGCCACTTAGCCGTTCAATTTGGGGTTCCAACAATCCGCCACAATTGGCCCCCTATTTCCCTTATCCCCAACCATTTTGCTCTGTATTACCTATGTGTATTTTCCCTAGCTCCTAGCTTTTTTGGTGCAAAGTTTTTGCGGCTTTTTCAATATTTTATGAGTCAAGCTTTTGCGTTAACACCTTAAGTACGGAGGGCGTTGCGGTCGTAGGGGGGGTGATGCGAACCCCTTTCTCAAAGAGAAAGTGTGTGCTAGTGTGTGTTCGTGTGTGTGTGTGTGTGTGTGTGTGTGTGTGTGTGTGTGGCAGGAAATAACGCGCAAGTTGTAAGTTTTAACTAGCGAACAAGTTGTGTTGGACCAAGACCCGGATCCAGGACCCCCCTTCTCTGTATCCTTCTGCAAACGCCGCCCATGGAAACCGCAAAATCGAGCCCCAAAAGCGGGCAAACAGGGGTTAAGGAAGACTAAATGGTTGGAGGAAGGAAGGAAGAAGGAAGTAAGGACGACTGTTGCGCCTGTTGAGCAAGGACGTGTTTTTGTTGTTGCCGTGGTTGCAATGAAGCATCGAATATTGCACACAAGCAAACGAGGAAGCTCCCACCTTCCAAACTTTCTCCTCACTTCATTTCCCTTTGATATCCCAAGAACAGGGGAAAAAATTACGCATGACTATATGTAACATATATTTACATTATAACTAGTATTGGCTCTTGCATCATATTAACTTTTTTTTATCAAATGTTGGATATATTTCACGTTTCAGAACTATCTTTAGTTGATTTTATATATTAATTTTTGATATGAAAACATTTTTGTTCTCTGTGTGGCACATTGTAGACGTCAACAGCGATTTATTTCCCAGGCAACTTAAGTACGCCGCTCTCGGCCCGGAACAATGCCCATTCATATGGCCACGCCCACCGCCCACCGCCCACCGCCCACACGCCCCACGCCTCAAACACAATCACCCATACACAATCTTACTAGGAAATGGAGAAATCCAAGAGTGGGACATTTTTGGCGCTCCAACTCAATGAGTCGAAATTAAACAATGCAAAAGATTAAGTGCAGATTTGGGACTTTATCTGCTTGTGCCATAAATTGGTATTTAAGGGATACCTCACAAATGTCTATAGCACACATGCACACGCCAAAATATACACAGACAAATCCAGGGAATAAGAGCTTATGTGGGTGGCGCCTTGAAGTATGCTGCAAAGTTTGCTTTTACCAACAATAGATCACAGCACCCAAACACAACCACACTAAATTGGTTGCTTCCTTTTTGCAGGTGGCAACCCTGACGGGGAAAAAAGGGAAGAACCCAGTACCGAAAGCCAAATGCAGCGCAAGTTTTCCCGTTTTGTTGTTTACCAATACAGTTTACCGCTCGCTGGAAAATTCGGTAAGGGCGAAGAGGGCCAAAACATGCACAAGATTAATTGCAATCGGTGTTTTGGCATATGTTTTATACTTTGTCTTCGGCTTTTGCCCCAACTGCTTCTTACTGTTTTGTGTGCTTGGGTTTTCTTTGTGCAAGAAGTTTTTTGCAAACAGGCAAAAATGGGGAAGAAGGCCAGGTGAATGCACTTGGCACTTGAGAAGGTAATTAAGCAGCTATTTATGGGGTTTTGGCGGAGAGACACCGAACACATGTAGTGTAAAGTTCCTTTGCATTCCCAAATGTTCAATACAATCAGAACACATATGCTTTAATATCCATTTGCTTGTGCAATGCTTATTATTTAAAAAGAGGAAAGAAAACATCTAGCAAATAAGTGGCTTGTGTGCTTTACATTTTAAACAATTCACCCCATTCACAATACCCCCACCCAATAGTTATTATGGCCAGATCTCTCAGCCAGATTGGCCGCTTAAATGCCTGCTCCTTTGTTCCATTGTTCAGCTGGATTTTCCCAGTGCCTCCGCCTCTGGCTCTGGTTGCTTATTCAATTTCATTTGCAGGCCAGGACCATAATTCGATTGCCTCATGTCTTAATGGCATAATCCTGGCAACAATAACAACACACATTGTTTGGGGCTTCCTTTTATCCTGTCCTCACACAGCAGCCCCATATGAAGTTCCCTCCCTCCTGGCATCAACACCATATCACTTTGATTACTTTATTATTGGTGGGCATGCACACCTTGCCGCCCCCTCCCACATTATTTATTTTCCCCGATTTTTCCTTACTGATTATGGTACTTCCCCCTCGACGCAGCCGCCTCTTCCCATTCCCCCCAAATTCCTGGCATTATCCCACTTTACTTATTAGAAGCAATCATACAACGGGTCCAACCCCGTCGCCAAAAAAAGAGGAAAATATTTGGGAGTTGGGTGGGTGTTTTTGGTGGAGTGTAAGAAGACGCAGCAGCTGAAGGAGCAGCCAGGAAAAATAAATCATTTTTTCTGTTTTTGTTGTTGATTTATGCGTTTATTCGATGTCCCTCCCCTCCGAAATCGTCCTGCTGCTTTTGTCTATAAATGTATCTCTGGTTTTTTGTACACTTAAAATACGTATGTACATCATTCTTATAAATGTGTGATATCAATATTTCCTCTTGTATTTCACATAATATATATAGTTTTTAATTAACAAGCAAATTTATGTTTGCTTTGGTTTTTGGAAAACTGCACTTCTTTGCGTTCGCTTGAATTTGAACTTCTAAGATACATTCTTTCTGTGTACTGGCTGCACTTTAGCTGCTGTTGATAATGAGCCAAATCATTTTTCGTGAGATAAATTTCGCCTCGACTACGGCGGCATATAAGTAGCTGGAAAACTTATGTTCTGACCTGGCCCCAAACTCCGGTTCCTAAGCTAGTTACTATGCTTTTGTCTGGCAAGTCATTCAGTGGCCTCCCGCCCCTTGCCGCCACTCGCTCACCTTGAGGAAAATGGGAGGGAAAGCGATTGGGTTTGGGGAAAATGGGCGGAAAAGCGGGAGGGGGAAGTTGGCGTCGACAAGTTCGAGTTTTGGTGCGCTCCTTGAAAGCGTTATAAATCATTGACATGATTAAGCGACGCGGCACGACACGACATCCTTTTGTTGTAGTTGTAGTGGAGGAATACATACATACATCCATATTAAATTTGAGTGTGTGTGTGTGGGTAGTGTGGAGGGGGTTAGTGGTAAGGAGAAAGTTCTCCAACCACCCAGGGCGGTAATGGGGAATATGATAATTTAATATCGAAAACTGTTTTTATTGAGTTAATTTGTAAGTCGATTTGGGTTTGGGTGTGAGTTTCCAAAGGTACTTCAAATTCCCTGGCTATTTAGAAATTAAAAAGTTGAATTTCTTAATAAATGTTTAAGCAACAATTGCATTTTCTTAGCACCACTGACAACTGTTGAATTTTTCCCTTGGCTCATCCATCCAATTTTGCGATCCATTTAAAGTCGTTTTCAATATGCCAATGAAAGATGGCTCCCCTGAGCCGCATGGTAAAATCGTATGGAAATTGAGGAAAATCCGCGTTTTTCAATGCAGCTGGCTTGGGCACTCATAGTCGGCGTTGTCGTTTTGCATTTTATATCTTTCCACCCAGAGGCACTTGAAAATGCGATACTCATCCGCCACTTTGGCCCCGGCATCTTACATAATATTCCGTTTGCCTTTGCACTTGTGTCTCCCGCCATTTTGCCATACTCAAACCCAGACCTTTTTTCCGGAGGTTTTCCCATACCAATTCTGCCATTTTCCTTGGCGTTCTCTCACACATCAAACATATTTATGTGTACTTTAAGAAACTTTGCTAATATGTTAAAACTGTTCATTGACACCAAAAAATGAGCAAAAAGCGTGCCAGCATAAAAAAGGCCAAGGAAGAAAATGGGGAAAGGGGTTCAAGTGCTACTCAGCACCAGCACCCCCCCACCCACCATTTTCCTAACCCCTCTATTTGAGTTTCGCTTGCATGGAAGAGATTTTCCTCATATGTATGTGTTTGCAGTGTTGGAAAACACAAACACAAACTGTGAGCTTATTAAACGCCAGTCGCCCCCTTTTTTTTGGTGGAGGAGAAGGGCGAAGGGAGTTCTAGTCAAATAGCAGAAATAGAAACAACCGGAACCAACTTTGTTTGCCGCTTCTGCAATATTAACTGTTAATTATGGCAGTCATTTTTGCCCATAGCCCCGCCCACAATTTGCAACCCACTTTTTCGTCTGTCAATATTTGTTGAAACACTTTCTGATTGGCGAAAATGCTTTTTGAATATGCCCAAAAGTTGTGCAATTGCAGAAATTCACAATTGCAATTGCTCCACGCTCACTATTTTATTAGAAAAGTTTCCATCAACGATCCGCACAGCTACCCCAAAATGTTTGACTTTATGCGCTATTTTTTAATATTTATTATGGCTGATTGCGATTCCTCGAAAACAGTCTGTGGGAGTCAGACAAAAAAAGGATCCCCCCTTTTTGTTTGCTTTGCGGCGGGCAGAAATGGTCGAAGAAGTGAAAAGTGGAGAGCGGAAAAAAATATTGTAAAAGTTTAGACAGAGGGATGACTGCATTCACGCATTATAATTTAAGTGAAACATAAATATTGATGTAATAAATTAATTTCTGTTAAATGGAAAAATGGAAGCCGAAGTCT